TTTAATACTTTTCGTTAAGTTTTAATGGAACATATTAATTAAGAAAAAATTTATATTTTTTCTTTACTTAAATTACATGAAATATTCATGTGATAAAAATTAATACTATGGTTAAATTTTTTACTAATATAACCTTAAAATCATTTAATTATATAATTATCAATATAAATATTATAAAGGTTATTATTCTCCCCATTCCTCTGCTGTTTTTTATTTCTTCTTTTTTGTTTTTTTTCCCTTTGGGTTCGTGCGAACCTAGCTCCTGGGTTCGTCTTAGAACCCAGGGGAGGGGTTTGCGATGAACCCCGCGCCTAGTTCATCTTGAACCAAGCTCCTGGGTTCATCTTAGAACGCAAGCGCTGGGTTCATCTCAAAACTAGTTTTTTCGTAAATAAAAGAAAGTGTGAGGATAAAATGGAAAAATCATGTCAATTTCATTAAACATGAAGCGAGAAGCTCCCGTGGAAGCACGAAATTAATACTTCTGGGATTTGCGAAGGAACAGGGGAAGATGTACTTCCAAGAAGCTGCAGCACGTTTGAAAAACTATCCCGTTTAATGCAATTTATGCTTTCAGAGCCAAAAAATTCTTTTCACAATCTGTACCAAACAGGCTCTAAGTTAGAAGAACACGATGAAGGCTGCCGTGGGCTAAGCATGTTATAAATTGGACCCTTATATACTAGTTTTACTTCATGTTATAAATTGGACCCTTATATACTAGTTTTTTCGTAAATAAAAGAAAGTATGAGGATAAAATAGAAAAATCATGTCAATTTCATTAAACATGAAGTGAGAAGCTCCCGTGGAAGCACGAAATTAATACTTTTGGGATTTGCAAAGGAACAGGGGAAGATGTACTTCCAAGAAGCTGTAGCACGTTTGAAAAACTATCCCGTTTAATGCAATTTATGCTTTCAGAGCCAAAAAAATTCTTTTCACAATCTGTACCAAACAGGCTCTAAGTTAGAAGAACACGATGAAGGCTGCCGTGGGCTAAGCATGAAGCCTACGATATACGTAGGTGGTTCATGGAAGCAAGCAACCTTATCTGTTCTATGCACATAGGACAATAATTGTGCGGTGAGAATGGCATCTTTAATTTCAAATTTGTGTTCACATGAAGTCAGTCAATCTATGCTGGCCCATTCAACTAAGGCTGCAAAGTTTGAAAGCAGAAGAAATGACATGATTTCCACCGTCGACTAGTGAATATTGATGAAGTGGATGGTGCTTCTTTATTATTTTCCTTGCAATTCACTCACGCGTTAAAACAATATAGGAAAATTGGTTTAAACTTTGAAACGGATAGAACCATCTAAATATGTCACACTGCTCAAATGAATGACAAATAATTACATTATTTTTTAATATACTTTTCCTTTTGTTAAATATTTATATACATTACGAAACTATATTAACTGCATAACATTGACTATCAGATGGTGACTAGCTTCCTAATATAGAGGTAGGTCTCAATGTGATAGTCATGGTTTTGCAATCGGACATCACATGATACTATTTTGCATATTCAAAAATGAACCAGTAAGAAAGACAAAAAAATACAGAACCATATAAACTCTTATGTATTCAACATTTTTCTATCCTACTCTGCTCTAAAACTCCTCCTGAAATGGCTGATGCTAGTGCCGCTGTGAAATTGGGATCTCTAACTAGAGAAGCCGCCATTTGGTGCACTAAAAGCTTTTGGATATCTGCAGAATCCATTTCCTCTGATGATTTTTTCACATCTTTGATAAAGCTCGGTTGCAACAAGTCAAGGGTCACGCTGGGAGCTGAAGGTTTCACGGGAGCAGAAATAGGAACAGAGCGACAAGGATTAGCAGCAGTCTGGGTGGAGCTCAATGATACTTCTGCCTGAGAAGGGCATGCATGGTTGTGCTCTCCTTCATATGTTGCCACTAAGATTGATGGATCTTCAGCACTTTTTTGCACCTGAAAACAATAACACCAGAATTTGATTCGTATTAGCAAAAAAAGAACAGAATTTCTGTAAATGTTCATCAAGGGTCTAAGGTTTTGGTTCGATGATAAAGAACAAGCTGAGGTCTTGAAAGGTCTCAAGTTTGAATCCTAAGCCTCGTTAATGAACATATAATCGTTGCAAATGAAAAGAAAAGAAAAATCAATTGGCTTACCTTCTTCTTGACTGGGCAACTAGGGGCATAAGAGCATTTAAAATAGGCTCTAGGAGATGGGTTATCTCTGGTGACCTTCTGGCCATATTTCCTCCATTGATATCCATCTCTCAGAATCTGTAACACAAAACCCATGTGACTCTTAGCATTTCTACATAAAATTTATGTATCAAAAAGTCCCGTTGATTCATTTAGGAATTTTCACAAACACCTTGATGACAACATTAGCACTTACCAGAGAGGTATCAGAAGGACTGGTGCGAACGCAAACCGTTGAAATGCTTGACTTAGAGCTCTCTTTAGGCCTTTTAATTGACTCTTCATCGCTGGAACTGCTTTCCGAGCGTCCACTGAATCCGATCATATTGGCGCAATCGTCCGGCGCCGCCTCCCCCTTTCTCTTTCTTGAAGTTGTCACTTCGTTCTCAGAGTTCTTGTTCTTCAACTCCATGAATTGGTTTTGCAGACTGGTGTAATTCTCACAGACTATAGTTAGCATTTCAGTTAGCTTCCTGTTCTCAGCTCTAAGCTGGTTAAACTCCTCCATCAAAGCGTCCATCTGTTCACCGGAAATTTAATGAATTCAGAACTTCGCAGATTGGTAACAGAAATCAATTCATCTATGATAGTGAAGGAAGGATCTTAAACAATCTGGAAATGGGTATATGATCAAATTAAGAAAATCAAAAAACCCATTTCCATTAAAGTAACTTTGAATCTCCGCAATATCTAAACACATGTATAAAATTGACTAGAAAATCACCTGTAGTTCTTTGCCTTGCAAGACAACTAAATCTTCTACAGGTTCTGTCTTCTGCTTGAAGAAATATAAAGATAAATTGATTACTTTGGGACAGTCCAAACTCGAACCAACAAAATCAAAACATACATGTTTGTTCCTGAAACAACCATTAGTTTCTACTCACCTTAGGTTTGCCAGGGAAAGGGTTGAGATTGAGGTCAAGAGAAGTGTCAACCCAATTAGAATCCATTGAAGAATTGGTATCTACGTTGCCGTTTATGTTGAGTATATGACTAGTTCAAGTATGGGGCAGAAAGAGAAAGAAATAGCTAAAGGAATGGGAGATGTATATGGGAAGAAAGGAGAGATATATAGACCAAGGATGGGATGGGTTGAGGGAACAAGGAAAGTGAGAAGAAGAAGAGTTCTAGGGAAAGTATTCTCCAACTTGGCACTGTCTCCATTCATGAAAATTTGGCCTTACCAAAGAGAAAAATATATACTAATAACAAGGGAGAAGGACAAAAGAAAAGGCATGAGAAAGTCATGGGGGACTGAAAAATTATTGAATTTCTAAGAGATGTCAAGGTCCAACGAAGGTGCTTTTCAAAATCTTACACTACACAAAAGAAGGTTCATGTTGACCTTCAACACTTTTGTGTTAAATTGGTGAGAGATAATGGGTTTTTGCATTTTCCCCCACCTTCCACGTTATTTCATTCACGACTCCTAAAACAATTTTATCTCTACACACGCCATTGCCGCGCACCCACGTGTTTGCAACGCTTTCTCCATTGTCTTTTTTTGTCATGTTACCCTAAGAGAAAGTAACTTCTACCTAAAAAAATTGTAATTGAATTAATAAGGTAGTTTGTTTTTTATATTATTAATTAATGTTTAACCCTTCAAGAAACAAATGAGAAGGTTATTTTTCATAAACTTTTTAATTTTAATATAGATGACTTGATTTTAATGGGATAAAAGAAAATTTAATCTTAAAATATATACAAACTACTTCAAAAACATATGAACAACTAAGGAAAAAAAAAATAACATCTATTGTTCACGCCATTTATTAAAGGATATTTTGCTTTTGCATCAATTTGAAACTCTATTTTAAAAGTTTATAATTAGAAGTTTAAACCTAATAAAAATTATAAAAATAAGAATCAGTCTGCATCGCATATCAAAGTTTAGGTAATTTAAAGATATATATCAAATTAATAGCCTCAATATTTAAACTTTATATTGAACTTATAAGACGGCATTAGCTCACGAGTGATCTAATCATTAGAGTTAGGCGGTGATTATTTGTTATATTATGTTTCCCCTGGATGAGTTGATACCACACACTCGCACAAAAAAACAAAGGAAGAATTAGTTAAAGGATTGGCATAGTCTCCTTTTTCATTGACTCGTCACAAGGCTAAAATTAGGCATAAAAAAGTAAGGGCACCCCCACACGGTTTTGAAACATTGCACGGCTGCCGCCCATCATCTTTTCAACTAACCTAAGACTTTACCTCATGTATCACTTCCTTTTTCTTGGCTCCATATATCCAGATACAGCCATCCATTATTCTAATGAAAACCCAATTAGATTATCAGCAAAATCAAAATTCTTTTCCTATCCATATTAAAAAATTATTTTCTTGGCTACCTTCTGGGAATTTAAAC